AGTGTGATTACTGTAAACTGTATTTATAACTGTACTTTTAAACTCTCCCACTCTTGATGAAGATGGAAAACTGTCTAATCAACAGGTTGATCCCACTGGTGTTAGTATGCAAATGATCCACTCAGTCAGTCAGGTTATACAAGATCTGTGAGGTTGTAAAAGAGACTTGAAGACTTTCATTTGAAGCTAATTTCATCCGTATTAGATGTTCTGAAAAGCTTTTGCTACAGAAATCATGAAGACAGATGTTCGTAAGACAACTTTAGGGACTGACTAAAGAACTTATGATTATACAGCTCAACATTCATCTGAATTAAGTTCATATTGAACAGTTCTGCACATCATTTCACGATTATATCCAGTGCCAACATTTAGCATTGATGCATATGCAGCAAAGTGGAGGGTAAGGGTGTGAAAGGTGGGGTGGTGGATTCGCCATGGTTAGGATTAGCATCCTAGAGGGTACTTTACCACTTTTTGTCCACTGGAAGGGCACCCTGGAGGGCACTTTATCATGTTTTATCTACCATAGGGGCAGAATTGTCTAATATCATCGTTCTTGTCTGGAGATATTGTTGGAGTATATTCAATAATACTGAGACTGTAGTCACAACAATGCCTAATCTTTGATTTGGACTTACCTGACAGTTGGCTCCCTAAAAGCTTGACTTGATGTTTGAAATAAAAAAATATGCTGGAACAGTAACATAGTAACTACCAGGCCTTGTATAGCCACACAGCTTGAATATTTCATTTTTAGGCATATGCATTAAGAGAAACAGAATAAACACCACTATTAACACAACTTTGAAAGACAAAGAATCAAATGCTGTGTCATTTTAATGATTGGAATTCAAAGACATGAAAGGACAGGACTTAAAAACATCTCTGGTAGAAAGACATACATTTTATTTTCCCTGCATTCTGAAGGAACTGGGTTGAATATCACCTCCATATTAAATAGATCACACATTATACTTTCCTTAGAGGTCCTGGTGGATTTTACAAATCCATTGAGGCAGGGATTTAGTTTGATTGAGTGCAGTCTTTGTTTCGACAAATGGTGTGGACAGGATTAAGGCAGGACTTTTGAATTGGTAATTTGAGCTAACAAGTGAGTGATGAAAGCAGAAAAGGGATATCTCTGTTTAAGTAATTTACTTTATCATGATTGTCTGCACAGTTTCCTTGTCTGCTCTACTTTCTTTCATGATCACTGGGCTGTAAAGCCTCGGCTAAAAGTGTACCTTTTCATTAGCTTGAGGTAATAAGGCGAAAACAAAATGGAGGGGTTGGCTTGTAAAAATTAGAGAGAATACATGTAGAAATAAAAGGCACAATTACTTGACATAATTGTGACTTTAAACTTACATGGAAACGGTGCTGGTTTAAAAATCAAATGTTTTGTTCTGTTCACAGTCAGGTAGCTGAAGCATGTGTTTTTGTAGGAAACCAGGACTGTGATCTCACTGTATGATACTGGTGATGTTTTTGGCTTTCAACGCAGCGATCTAATTTTAAGAGTGAATAATTTTATTGTTTCACAGTGTGTGAGGGAAAACTGCTTTATTCTCTTCCATTTAGATGTGCCTGATATGTTGTTAACATTCTCTGAAATAAGAGAACATTCCTGGGGACTGTGGGTTTTATTTGGACATAATTTTAATTATTAAAACTCAATTGTAAATGCATTCAAAATATACCTATTACCTAGAGGCAACTGGGAATATGTGTGACTCCAGAACTCCAGACTGTGTATGCCTGTGTGTGGAGGTTTTTCTTTTGTCATTTTTTTGCAGGAATGTTTGCTTGTCAAAATGCAGGCTCTGCCCTCTAACATCATGTTTATTTATTTTTTCCTCTCAAAGACTTAGCAATGCCCGCAACCCTTTGTTTGTTTGGCTATTTGTTTTGCAGCTCTCTTCGCCTTAACTCACAGAGTAGCCGGGATAAGGTGCCAGCCCCAAGGTTAGCTCCACATGTTTCTTGAAATAATCTTGCTAGACATGTATTGCTGGGGGCACATCCTCTGAATCCTGGGCTCACTCACTTATTTATAGAGTCAAACCCACTTCCCCCCCACCCCACTCACCACCACTAACCCCTCACGCCCCTTGGCAGTGGCCGTCTTCTTCCCTCTGGCCTCAGATCTATGCAAACAGCTTACACTCTGTAGACCTGATTTCACCTGAAGCCATGTCTAACATAAATTATGCTGAAGTTCTTCAGTGTCTCATTAAGATTCAACTGCCCCTCCAGTCAACCCCTTAGAATACTAATGAAACCCTTCAAGCTGAAATCCATAATGTTTTTTAATTGATCTATCAGTAATTTATCCATCTGTGTGGTGCAGAGTAAAAACTGAGTATTTACTGTGGTCAGAGATAAGCTGCATACGTAATATACATAGAAATCTTGATCGGGTCAGTCAGGTGGAGAATGCCAATGCCCTCATATTTCATCACTTAGGTAAACAAAAAATTCATCATGACAAATAAGCAATTTCAAGATGTCACCTTGGTCTCAGGGAACTCTTTTATTTTCAACCTTTTGTTTGGCATACAGGCCAAACAACAAATTCATTTATCAGAAAAACAATCAGCAAATCCACCGATAATTAAATAATCATTACAAGCAGCCTTAAGTAATTACTAAGTTGATTGCAAGATGATGCAACTTGTAATCAGCTAAGTAATGATTTTTCCATCTTACTTTGATGAAGTAAGGCATTACACTAGTATAAAAATTTCATACACAATGTCCATATCAATTAAAAAATAATACTTTCCTTTGTGTTTATCGTCAGGCATCTATGAACTGTCAATAAATCAAAAGAATCTGCATCAGTACCAGCAGAATGCTGTCCCGAGGAATGGCTGATGTAAACCAGAGTGAAAGTGTGTCATCACTCGGCATGTTTTGATGGTGTTCATGGAACGAGGGTCATACATGCTATGTTTGGCCTTCCAGCTGGTACAACCATTTTTAGTCCTACGTGTCCTCTGCTGTGGTTAATGAACACTGCCCGTTTCCCTGATCTCTCTGCCAGGCCAGAGGCTTAAAAATACCCTCAGAGGCAAAGCCTGTTGATGGCCGCCTCTGATCCCGCTAATAAAATCCTCCCTCATGTAGGAGAATAACAAAAAGCACTCCACTTGACTACCCTCTAACTAACAACATCAGAAGCTTCTTTCATTTTATCTGCTCACAAGACCAAGGTCTAATAAACTTCTACTTCCAGAAAAGTACTTTTCCTCCAACATATTGGGGAGTTTTTTAATTGTAATTGTGAACGTTGACTGCTTGGTGTGTTAACACCCTGGCTCGTATCACAGGCCTCTCCAAGTTGGCTAACAATACTTTCTTTCTATTTGATTACATAGCCTAATAAAGTGGAATGAGTCTGGAGATGTTATCGACTCCAGTTAAAGGATTCATCACATACCTTTGTGCCTTTGAATTCCGCTTGAACAATGTTACAGACTGAAACCTGAGCACCTAAAGTTGTTCTTGCTGGATAGCTCTGCAGCTCTGCAAGCTGAATGCATATGAATGGACATTTCAAACGTTTCTTTTTCAATTCAAGTCGGTGTCCCTCAGTGTGCATTAAAGCAGCTTTCACCTCATATCTAGCATTAATAAAAATCATGAAAACTGGAGGCAAAAAAAAGGGTGAATACCTCTACCTGCCCAATTCAATGAAAACATATCCAATGCAAACAAAACACCATCAATTGCATACTGTATATCATATAAATGTAGTTGCAAATGCACTGTGTGGTCAAGCGTGTATGGCAGTTTGTTTAATATAGACCTCAGAATACAACAGTGCTGGACAGGTTCATTCAAATATCTTGTGTAGTAAAATTTGGTGAAAATTGAAATGGAGGGATGGTGAAAAAGGCAGACAAAATTTTTAAATGACAAAAAATCTATTCAGACCCAGATGAATGTTGCTTCTAGTGATATATGAAACCAGGGACACAGAAAATGTGACTTCACCTCACAATTTAAAACGCAACCGCCCACTGTAATTTCAATGAGAGCACTGCGTTGGCACAGTTGGCATGGCCCGTCAAATACTGTATGTGAAAAGCACATTGTTGGTAAATTGCTTTGTAATGTAAACAGTGTGATTCTACTATTGTACCTTGTAAACACGGAGACAAAGGATAGCTTTCTAGAATCTGTCTTATACTATTATAAACAGCTGTGCAGTGTTT